GCCAACTGCTCATGAGATGTTATATAAGGTGTACAGATAATATCTTTATCAAGTTTCTCTTTAATAAAATGTTGGTCTATCTCCACGCGTTTTGTATGATCATGCCGGACTGGATTATCTGTGATGTTGATGGCTAACTTATTAACACAGTATAGTTTGATGGGTTGAATCCACTTAACTCTCAAGTCTTCTAAGATTCCTTTCACTCATAATACGTCACAAATCCCACACATCATTGCTCTAAATTTAGATTCAGCACTTGATCTTGCTACAACTTGCTGTTTTTTGGATGAGATCACTAGATCTAATGAAGAATGTTCTAATTAAAATAGTCAACTCAAGTCAACAAAGGATGGTCAATTAGAGGCTCAACCTTTTGAGTTCAACCATTCCAAGAAGAAGTGCAAGAATCAGGGTTCTTCCACTTCGAAGAGTTTACCTTCAAGTCAACCAGCACCTTCCCCCTCTATTAGATCGAAAATGGAATATTGGATCCAAGACCAATGGGTCCCTACCAGCAAGCAAGAGGATCCATCCGCAAAGGATGACCAAACAAGAAGAAGAAGAAGAATGGGGAGAAGATGCCATGTCATCCTCACATCCCTCCTCTCCTTAAATGGGATGTCATTTCAACTAACAGACACCACATGGCATCTCTTGGAAAAGAGTGTCTCCTTCACCCCTTTCTTCTCATTCTCTCTTTATGCTGTTGAAAATTATTGCTCTTCCTTTTCTTTCTATAAATGCTAAGACTCTACCGTATTTGACATAGTGATTTACAAAATTAATCAAGAAGTTTATCTTACCTTCTTAGATTAGAAGGCTGTCTCTTTTCCCATTGACATGACTTAGTCATTATATAATAAATTACACAAATTTAAATTTTATAAAACTAGAAAATACTAATTTTTGAGTATTTAAAAGTACTTATGAACAAATATATCAATTATAATTTAATAAAAATTTAGGTCGATCACAAGAATATAATATAATATCAAGTAATTTTTCAAAATAATTCTCAAAGAATATATTTTTTTATAATTTTTTAGTTAAGAGATGAAAATAAAATATATTTAAAATTCATGAAAAAGGAAAATAAGGGTGCAGATGTCATGATGACATCAACACTTGACGAACACAAATCAGATGAAAATAGAGTTTCGCTCATGAATTCTTACGTAAGTGATTACAGATAATTTAATTAATTAAATTAAGATGTGTAAAAATAAAAAAAATATAATTGAAGGAAAAATAATTTAGTAAATTTAAATCACGTAAATTATTACTAAATAAAGTAAAAAATAAGTTGAAAGTAGAAAAATAAAATTCCAATATCACAGTAGTGATGCATCGATGATACACTAAAATCTTGAGTGTTCGAGAAGATTGTTGTGTAGTGTCCATAGCTTCAAAGTCTCTACTTGGACAAAGACGACATGAACAATCTCTAGTTCTTCTTGTAAAGTCTAAAGAAAAATAAAACAGGTTTAGTCTCACATCGATTGTACATCGAAGTTTTGGATAAATATATAGTAATATCAGATTTAGAAGCAATGAGTCCCTTTCTTATGTGTATGACCACTCCTTGCCCCATAGTTGGCTAGCCACCGGTGATGTGGAAAAGGAGTGGCACACATGTGCCCCCATCAGTCCATAGCCACTCAAACTCTTACTCACAGCTCCCCCTAATTGCGCTTCCGACCCACTTGTAGGCCCAGCTGGCCAGTGAGTTTCCTCTTTTTCTATTTATTTTATTTCTTTTTCTTTTTCTTTATTTATCTAAAAATAAGATTATAAAAATTATATAAATTCCTATAAAATCACATAATTAGTAAAAAAAAATCACATTAATCAACTAAAAACTATTTTTCACAATTTAACACAAATATAAGTCTATTTATCATGATTTAAAGATAAAACTATATTATTTATTAATTATTAACTCATGATAATGAAGACTTATCACAACCCCCAACTTAAATCATTACTAGTACCTTAGTAATGGAATTACAAGAATAAAAATTCATAAATCTCAAAATACCATATTTTAATGTAAAAATAATAATTATAAATGATACATCTTTAGACACTTTGAATTCTTATATCAAGTATTTAAGAATGACATCAAGCACTTAAATGTTTAAGCACTCAGAATAACAATCTACACTTCACTTCTTTTATTCACATCTTCATCACTTCTTCACTTAGAAATATAATTGACAAGATGTTTCAATTATCAATACTCATCTATAAATAATATTGATCCTACATTTTTTTTCTTTCATGACTTAATTTTTGAAGTTTATACTATATTTCTTTTTCTTCTTTTCTACAGTAAATAAGTAGCTTTTTCTGTAGACCAATTTTGACAACAAGAATGATGTTTCACACCCTCCATGTGTACTCTTCATTTTCAGGGCTTTCATTTTATCTATTTATTTTGCAGCAAGTGCTTTTCTATGAACAATTTTCGACAATGAGAATGAAATCTCACATCTTCCATATGTACTCTTCATTTCTAGATTTTTTCACATTACTCTAGTTTTTTTTTTCAAAGTAAGTGATTTCTCCTCACAAATCCTATAGATCAAGGTGTAAAAATCTTCATTAAACTCAATTGATCAATTAAATTTTCACATCAAGTAAATACTATCCATCAAAATCATGAAGTGAAAATCTATAAAATCAAATCCATGTTATCTATCATATATCCAAAGAGTATTCTAACATTTCATGCTACTAAATCATTTTTTTAACTCAATAATAAACTTCCTAGTATCTTTTGGTATCAATCAATCTAATTGATTTAATTTTTATGCATGCAATATGATGTAAGAAATTTGTACATTAGATAGTTATGACAATTTTATTTTCTATTTTTAGTTCTATTTTCAAAAATAATGAATTTGTTAAAAATAAATCAAAGCTATCCTCTTTATGATTGTAATTTCGAATTTTAGCAATGTACATCTAGGGGATTGAAGTGTGAGAAAAGGGTCTCCAGAATTTCAAATTTTAGGTTGTTTTTTCATTGCCATTTTTGACAATCTGTTGTTTTTGATAGGAAACCAGAAAATAGATGTTGTACTTTTTGTAAATTTTTCTATTTGCTGTTTTAAGTGAGCATGAAAACAAATACAAACACATGTTCTTAATCGTCCTTCAGTATAAATTAAGAATTAATACTTCACCCCCCAACTTAAAAATGACATTGTCTTCAATGACATAGAAAAATCAAAATAGAATATGCAGAAAATATAATTTTCAAGTGAAGCATTTATATATGCAAAAGTAAGTACTAAAAATATTATCATAAATGATAAAGTTCAGAAAGATACTACCTCAACCTCATTTTTAATTTTCCACTTCATCTTATACTCCTCTTCTTGCACTTTTTTGAAAATAAATTAAATATAGAAATAAGTACTATGAAATTTTAAGAAAAATCGACCTTACAAAAAAATAAATAGAATGAAATAAAAACAATGGGTTGCCTCCCATGTAGTGCTGAATTTAATGTTTTCAGCTAGACACAATAATCTTACTCTTGAATTTCTTTTAATAATAAAATTTCTTTTTCTACAAGGCATTCATGTTCTATGTAATGTTTCAATAGCTGTCCATTTACCTTAAAGTTATGATCACTTTTAGGATCTTTAATCATTAGTCCCATGATCATGTCTCTTTCACCACATAAGGTCTTTTCTATTTGATTTTAATTTTCTTGGAAATAATTTCAGTCTAAAATCATATAACCACACCTTTTGTCTAACATCAAATATTTTTCTGCTAATGTATTTATCATGATTTTTTTTAGTTTTTTCTTTATATATTTTATGATTTTCATAAGCTTTATTCTTCAACTCCTCTAGTTCATATAGTTGAAAAATTCTATGCCCACATGCTATCTTTTCATCCATACATAAATTTTTTATAACCCATAATACTTTATACTCTATTTCCACATAAAGATGACATAGCTTTTCAAAAATGAGACGAAATTAAGACATACTTATAGAATTTTATAAGCTATTCTATAAGCTCATAATTCATCTTATAATTTTTTGGGCTCATCTTTCCTATCTAGTCTAATTATTTTTCCCAAAATTCTCTGAATTTCCTTATTTACTATTTCAATTTGCCCATTTGTTTGGAGATGATATAGAGTGGCTACTCTATGATGTACTCCATTCTTTTTCAATAGTTCCTTGAAATGTTTATTTGTAAAATATGTTCCTCTATCACTAGTAATCACTTTAGGACATTTAAATCTTGAAAAAAAAATTCCTACACAAATTTCATCACGATTTTATGATCATTAGTTCTAGTAGAAATAACTTCCACCACTTAGACATATAATCAACAGCAAGTAAAATATATTCATATTTTTCAGTTGATGAGAAGGGACCTATGAAATATATTCCCCATATATCAAAATTTTCAACTACTAATATGTTACTCATAGGCATTTCATCTTTTTTATTCATGTTACCTATAGATTGGCATGAAATACATGTTCTACTAAATTCTATAGAACCTCTAATAATTATAGGCTAATAAAAATCACACTAATTTTTTTTTATAGTTGTTTTCCTCTAGAGAAATATCCTCCACACTTAGATGAATGGCGCAATTGTTTTCCTCTAAGAATTCTATGCTATTTTTCTTTAGGAACACACCTCCTTAAAATTTGATAATTGCCCAAGTAATATAAATCAGGATCATGCCAAAAATAATTTCTAATCTTAGAAAATAAATAATTTTTATGTTCTTATCCCACTATTCTAGAATTTTTCTAGAAACCAAAAAATTAACAATATGTGCATAGAAAAAGGGAGACCCATTGGCTAGCCAAGCCCACAAGCAAGTTGTAATCATTGTCAAGTATAGCCATGAGCAAGGGGCTCAATCGGCTAAGGGTCAATAAGCATGTGTGCATCACTCTCCTTCCACATCGCTGGTGGCTAGCTAAACGTGGGGCAAGAAGTGGTTGTACAAACATGAGAAAGAGAGAGTTATTGAATACAAAATCTTGCAGTACTATATATTCATCTCATAACTTAGAAAATAACCAATGTAGTACTAAACTACTCAAAGCTTTCTAAAAAATATTTTTCATCATTTTGACTACCTACAATATCCTTAATTTATGAGAAATAGATACCCTTATGATGTCATCTTATAAAAATATTTGCATACTTATTTTACTCTCTCTCATATAGGTAGGCAACCAACAAAGGTTTGAATCTTACTAGAGTCAAGACTAATATTATTATTTGATTAAATCGTAATTTTTCTGTAGAATAAGCCATCATAATCACTCAATCATCAACAAAAATATCATTAATATAATTTGCAGAACAATGTTACTATAATTGTTGAATAATTCTAAATAAATAAATTGTGAATCTATTAAATAAATTATCTCTAATTGATCGATGAACAAGTCATCATCGAGAGGATGACAATTGATGTGACTTAGTCATTATATAGTAAGTCACATAAATTTAAAATTTATAAAACTAGAAATTATTAATTTCTAAATATTTAAAAGTATTTCTAAATAAATCAATCAATTGTAATTTAATAAAAAATTCAAAATAGTAAAAAAAAATTCAGGTCAATCTCAAGGATGTAATATATAATCAGGTAATATTTCAGAATTTTTCTTAAAGAATAAGATTTTTTATGAATTTTAGACTAAAAAATAAAAATAAAATATCTTTAAATTTTACAAAAAAAAAGGGGTGCGAGCGTCAAGATAACATCAGTGCCTGACGAATGCAAATCGGGCAAAAATAGAGTTCCACCCAATGATTCTTACATAAACAATTAGAGATGATTTAATTAGTTAATTAAGATCTATAAAATCTAGAAAAATCGTAATTGAATGAAAAGTAATTGAAAAAATTTAAATCACATAAACTATCATTAAATGAAATGATAAGTTGAAAGTAGAACAAATAGAGTTTGGGCATCTTAAGTGTTCAGGAGGAATATCATGCAATGTCCATGGCCTCGAAGACTCTTGAACAAAGAGGATGTGGACAATCTCTAGTTCTTGCGAAGTCTAGACATCAAGGAAATGGGTTGTCAAATCATCTTTGGCAGCTATCACCCGACAAAGTGGAAAAATAAGACTTTGTAGGTCTTGGATGGCTATCACTTGATGGAGAAGAACTAGATGGAGGTGGGGCACATGTTAGGAAGCTTTATCCTTAAGTTTGCACAGCAAAAGTGAATATTCATCACATTTGATACGTTCTCAGGAGGTAATAACTCGTCTTTTAACATATTGTCCTCTTCCTAATGACAGCCTATTCATCGATTAATTGGAGATGATTTACTCAATAGATTTGTGATCCTTGTATCCTAAATTGTTCAATAATTTTAGCATCAATACTTCACAAATTACATTGATGAGATTTTCGTCGATGATCGAACAATTTTGGCAATTTAATCCTTCACCGGCAATCTGCAAGAAAGTTATGATTTAATCAAATAAAAATACAAGTTTTAACTCTAGTAGAATTAGAACCTGCACCAATCACACACGTGCATAAGAGAGTGAAATAAGTACTCTAATACCCTTATAAAGTGACATCATCACAATATATCGCTATTATAATTAAGGGGTATTTTAGCTATTAAAATAATTTGTATTATTCTAGGAAAGGTGTGATATGATTTTAGTCCCACATTAGTTGTATGTCAAAGTTTTGGACAAATATATAGTAGTACCACACTTAGAAGCAATGAGTCCATTTCTCACATGTGTACAATCACTCTTTGCCTTATAGTCGGCTAGTCACTGGTGACGTGGAAAACAAGTAGCACGCACGTGTCCCCATCAGTCTATAGCCATTTAAGCCTTTGCTCATACCTCTGCCTCAACTACACTTCTAACTTACTTGTAGACTCAAGCCTGGCTGGCCAACAAATCCCTCCTTTTTTTATTTTTGTATTTTAATTTATTTTTCTTTATTTATCTCAAAAAGAATATTATTAAAATTATATAAATTTACATGACATCATATAATTAACTAAAAATTCATACTAATCAACTAAAAATCATTTTTTATTATTTAACATAAATATAAGTCTATTTATCATGAGTTAAGGCTAAAATTATATTATTTATTAATTATTAACTCATGATAATTAAGACTTATCAACAATCCACTAGAAGATGAATCACAACCTCCTAAGAAGGTATTAGATGCGATGAAGAGCCTTCTCTTGCTGCATAGACGTGAGGATGAAGCTCCCTAAAATGTGCCCTATCTTGATCCAATTTATTTATGTCGAGTGATAGCAATTAGAGAATCACAAAATTGTCATTTTTCTATTATCAGGTGACAATCATTAAAGACTATTCATAGACCTACTATTAAGTTTTAAATTTTACAAAAATATCTAAAGGTGTTCTATATTTTCTATGTCATTTTTACTTAATTTATTAATACTTTATGTGATTTTAATTTTAAAACTCTTCTTCATTAAATTATAATTTTTCTCACTTTTGTAGAACTTAATTTGATCAATTAAGTCATCTATAATCACTCATATAAGAGTTTTTGGGTGAAACTTTGTTTCCTCCTAATTCATGTTTGTTGAGCCATTGACATCATCTTGATGTCTGCACCCTTCTTTCCCTTTTTATGAATTTAAAATATATTTATCTTCATTACTTAGTCTAAAAATCATAAAAAAATTATATTTTTGTAACAAAATCTGAAATATTACTTAATATTATGTTACATCTATATGATTGACTTAGAAAATCTTCATTATTTTAAAGACTTTTATTAAATTATAATAAATATATTTTTATAAATAATTTTAAATATCTAAAAATTAATATTTTCTAGTTTTAGAAATATTTAAATTTGTGTGATTTATTATACAACGTTAGTTATTAAACACAAGTCAAGAAAATTGAATCGAATCATAGATATTCTTAATAGAAAAATAATATGCTTGGTGAACCTATGTGTTGAGATCAAGAGATTTGACTATCTTAAGGAAATATACCCCTAAGATGATGATTTCTCTCAATAATATATGACATGTAAGTTTAGATTATCAACTAAAGCTTTTCACCTCCATGATGATTTCTTATTTCAAACAACATAATTATGTATTTCTTGCAGCTCTTAAGAGAAAATTATATATTTAAAATACACTCTTCAAGCTTAACATGACACCTTGGTCAAGACAAGATCCTAGAATCAACTCAAGAGCGGTATTATTGGCCAAAATTAAAGAAAGATATAGAAAATTTTGTTTTCAAATGTCAGGTTTGTCAAACCTATAAAAGATAGAATCAAAATATTAGATTATTACTAATTATAAATTAGTAGTTATATCTACATATTAATAAGTAGAGAATACAATTATAAATTAATAGGTAGAGAATATAATTGAATGTGTTACCAATTGATAAGTCTTCATTATCATGCCTTAATAATTAGTAAATAATATAGTTTTAGCCTTAACTCATGATAAATAGACTTATATTTGTGTTAAAGTGTGAAAAGTAGTTTTTAGTTAATTAACATGAAATTTTGGTTAATTACATGATTTTCTACGAATTTATATGATTTTTATAGTCTTATTTTTGAGATAAATAAAGAAAAAGAAATTAAAATAAAAATATAGCAAAATGGGGGATACCCACCAGCTAGCTGGGCCCACAAGCAGGTTGGAAGTGCAATCAGGGAGGAGCTGTGAGCAGGGGATCAAGCAGCTAAGATCGATGGGGGCACATGTGCACCACTCCTCTTCCACGTCACTAGTGGCCAGCCGACCATGAGGCAAGGAGTGGTCGTACACGCAAGAGAAAGAGACTTACTTGTAAATGTAATATTACTATATATTCGTCCAAAACTTTAGCGCACAAGCAACGTGGGACTAAACCCACATCACACCTTCCCCACAAGGCTTTGATGATTTTAATACCTACAATACCTCTTATTTATAACAGAAATATACCATGATGATGTCATTTTATAAAGACATTATACTTATTTTAATCTCTCTCATATAGGCAAGTAATTAATACGGGTTTGAATCCTTCTAAAGCCAAAACTCATATTTTTTATCTAATTATCGTGACTTTTTTGTAGATCGTTGGTGAAGGATTAAGCCACCAGAATGACTAGATCATTGGCGAAAATCTCGTCAACACAATTCGCGGAGTATTATTACTAAAATTGTTGAATGATTCGCGATAAAGGGATCGTGAATTTATTGAGTAAAGTATCTTTGATTGATCGACAAATAAGTCATTGTTGGAAAGAGGACGATCTGTCGAGAGACAAGTCGCCACCTCCTGAGATCATACCAGATGCGATGAAGAGCCTCCTCTTGTTACGCGGACTTGAGGATGAAGCTCCCTAACACGCACCCCACCTCCATCTAGCTCTTCTTCGTTGGGTGACAACTGTCGGAGAGCTACAAAGTCGCTATTTTTCTGCTCTGCCAGAGACGATTCGATGACCCTCTTCATTAATCTCTAGACTTTGTAAGAAGATCTAGAGATTGCCCATGTCATCTTTGTCGAAGAAGAGCCTTTGAGGCTATGGATACTACACGACAATCCTCCCAAACGCTCAAGATTCTGATGCATCACCAACGCATCATCGTCGCAACGCCAAAACTCTATTTTCTTGTTTTCAATTTACTTTACGCTTCATTTAGTGATAATTTGTGTGATTTTAATTTATCAAAATATACTTCGTTCAATTACGATTCTTCTGACTTTTATAGATCTTAATTTGATTAATTAAATCATCTCTAATCACTTATGTAAGAATTGCCAAGTGGAACTCTATTTTTGCTTGATTCACGTTCATCGGGCGCTGACATCATCCTAACATCTGCACCCTTATTTCCCTTTTTTGTAAATTTAATATATTTCTTTTTCATTTACTAGTATAAAATTCATAAAAAAAAGTATTCTCTGAGGAAAATTCTGAAAAATTACCAGATATTATATTACATCCCTATGATTGACCTAAAAAATTACTGCTATTTTTGAAAGTTTTATTGAATTATAATTGATATATTTATTCAAAAATAATTTTAAATATCTAAAAATTCATATTTTCTAGTTTTATAAATTTTAGATTTATGTGATTTATTATACAATGACTGGGTCACATCAAATTTTGGTGCCATTGTGGGGGTGTATTACATAATATTTAGTATTTTTCTATTTTTCTCTTAGAATACATAAAAAAAAAACTCTTGTTTTATTTTTTTCTTGTCGAATTATTTTTTTAGAAAAAGGGAACGAGAAGAAGCAAGGCAAGGACTAAAGCATATTGAAGGAGGGTAACAATTACTAAACTTTTCCCTCAAATTTGTTGATTTTTTATGCATGGTAGAAGATCCTTGCATCCAAGGCTAGAAAATCTTTTCATTATTTCATTAGAAAATAAAAATTCAAAAGAAAAATTAATTTTAATAGATCGTGAAGGAAGTACAAGTCAAATTGAGAACAATCCTATGGCCATGAAAAATCATTATATCCCTGATTCATTTCAAAGAGCATCCAATATTAGAGTCCCATTAGTACCTAGTATTAAATTCGAAATAAATCTAGAAAATTTTCAAATGCTCCCTAATTTTCATGGATTGCTTTTAGAGGAACCTCATCAACACTTAGAAAAATTTCATGTGGTTTGTGATTTAGTTAATCTCCCTCAAGTTACACCAAAAATTATTAAGATGAAATTATTTCCTCATACACTTAGGGACAAAAATAGTCATTAGCTATCCACATTAGATAGAGAATTAACTAGTTGGAAAGACATAGAATAAGCTTTTTTTCAAAAAATTTATCCCTTAGGAAAAACTCAAAATATGAGAAAACACGTATAGAGTTTTCTTAAAGACCAAGAGAAACTTTACATCAGACATGGAAACATTCAAAGATTTACTTAGAAAGTGTCCTTATCATGTTATACCCAAGTGGTAGTTCAATAGAAATTTTTATGATGGATTATTAAAACAACATAGAAATATGGTTGATTATATATGTGGAGGAGCTTTTATGGAAAAAACTCCTGATGAAATTTACAGTCTTTATGAGAATTTAAGTGAAAATTTTAGAGATCAAGCCTCTTTTGAATTATATGACAAGGATAAGAAGAAAGGAATTTATGAATTACATCATGATAATGGTTCTAAATTTAGAAATGAGGTTAATCAGATTAATCAAAGATTAGAAAAACTTGATTTACTTATTAATAATATTAGAAAGCTTCTTAACCCTCAATTTTTAATTCAAATAGTACATGTGTTATGTATGGTGAAAATGATCATTTTAAATTTTAATACCATCTTAGACAAGAACAAGTGTAGGTACACCACGATTTTAGTAAAAATAAAGAATCTTTTTCTAATTCTTATAATCCTAATTGGGAGAATAATTTTTCACAGAGAAACCTAAATAGTATTCAAAATCTAGAAGCACTTAGATTCAATTCAAATTTTGAATTTCGTCCAAAACATGAACACAAATTTCAAAAGAATCAACCCTCTCAAACTCAACCTAATACTATGAAAATGATGTAGCAAATGAGCCAAATGATGTAACAAACTATGAATCAAATGATGCTGCACCAAAAATAAATTATAGAGGCTCTTGGGAATAAGAGAGAAGAGGGACAACTACCTAGTCAACCCATAGAAAATCTAGGGAACCATCCAACAATGGGATTTCAACAAGGGGAGTCTAGTAGCATGAATCTAGGAAAAAAACCCACAAAATGAAAATGTTAGAATAGTGAATACATTGAGTGAGAATATTTTACCTGATCCTTATTTCCAACTATTAGAAGAAATTGATGATCCATTAGAAGTAAATGAGAGTATTAAGGCTGAAAATATAGTAACAGAAAATTTGAATAAAATCATTTATTGCTCACAATTGATGAATGAATATAGTGAGGATGATGAGGATAAAGAGCCCTTCGATAAAGAAATAGAATTGATCATGGAAAAATCATCCAAATTTTAGTAGAAGGGAGTAAGGATAGAAATGAAGGAAAAATATATTTCAAGTGAGGAAAAAGTAAATGATTTGGGAGATGTAGGAGACGAAATTAATAAAACTAATAATAATTTCATAGCCATGGATGTTGATAGTGAGGATAATGATGTATATCATATACTGAAATTAAAAGATAACTCTTGAGAAGACGAAGAATTTGATGAGTTGAGAAATGAAAAGCTAGAGAAAGAGTTGATTCAACTAATGGGAAGAAATGAAAATAATGGATATAAATATAGAGATAATTTTAGAGGATAAATTTTGAATTTTACTGAATTCATTAGATCTAAAATTAAAGAAGATAATCCTTCTATCCTTCAAAACCCACAGCCCATTAGAATTATTTCTAAGCTTGAAATATTTCACTCCTCACAATCTAAACAAATATGTATGGAAGATAAAATGGAGCAGGGGAAGATTATGTAGATTAAAGAACACATTAAGAAATAGGTGAGTGAAATAATTAGAGATATCAATTTAGATGAAAAAATTCTAGATTGAGTAAGAGTTAATTTGAAAATTATATGGCCTCATCATATTTTATTATCTATTAATAGAAAGTATTTATTAATGAATGAGAGCCTTACAAAATAAGATAGAAATAAGGAAATATTATTTTTAAAATAGAAATATTATTTTTGGGAAAATTTTGTTAATTTCAATTTTTTTTTGGCTGAAAGTATGTCAAGGTATATATATGAAGTATATAAATTTATGCTAAATTTGAAAAAGAATATCATGAAACTTATCTTGGGATACAAATATATTTTGATCGCCATAGATGATCTCATATGATCTAAGAGCTGCCTAGCTGAAGACATTAAATTCAGTGCTACATGGGAGGCAACTCATGATTTTTATTTCATTATGTTTGAATTTTTTTAAGCTTTGTTTTTCTTAGAATTTTGCAATACTTGTTTCTATATTTGTTTTTTTCAAAAAAGTGCAGGAGGAGGAGTGTAAGATGAAGTGGAAAATTAAAAATGAGGTTGAGGTGATGTATTTCTGAGCTTTATCATTTATGAAAATATTTTAATGCTTAACTTTGCACATATGCATGCTTTACTTGAAAATTATATTTTTTGCATATTTTGTTTTGATTTTTCTAAGTCATTGAGGACAATGTCATTTTTAAGTTGGGGGGTGAAGTATTCATTATTATTTTATGCTATAAGACGATTAAGAACATGTGCTTACATTTTATTCAACCTAGAACAGCAACTAAAAAAATAAAAATAAAATAAAATTCAGAAAAATTACAACATCTATTTTCTGGTTTTCTGGCAGGAACAACAGATTGTCAAAAATAGCAGACAAGAAAATAGCCCAAATTTTGAAATTCTAGAAACCCTTTTCTCACATTTCAATCCCTTAAACATATATTCTTGAAATTCGAAATTACAGTTATAAACATGATAGTTTTGATTTATTTTTGACAAACTTATTACTGCTAAAAATAGAACTTAAGATAGAAAATAGAATTGTCAAAATTATCTAATTTACAAGTTTCTTACATCATATTGCATGCATGAAAAATTAAATCAATTAGATTGATTGACACTAAAAGATACTAGGAAGATTATTATTGAGTCAAAAGAATGATCTAGTAGCATGAAATGTTGAAATACTCCTTGGATACGTGATAAATAAGATGGATTTGATTTTACAGATTTTCACTTCATGATCCTGATGGATAGTATTTACTTGATGTGAAAATTTGATTGATCATTTGAGTTTAATGAAGATTTTTGCACCCTGATTTATAGGACTTGTGAGGAGAAATCACTTATTTTGAAAAAAAAAGAAGAGAGAGTAATGTGAAAAATCTAGAAACAAAGAGTACACATGGAAGGTGTGAACAACATTCTCATTGTCGAAAATCGTGCATAGAAAAACACTTGCTGTAAAATAAGTGGATAAAGTGAAAGCCTTAAAAATAAAGAGTACACATAGAGGGTGTGAGACATCATTCTTATTGTCAAAATTTGTCTACAAGAAAAGCTACTTATCCATTATATATATATATATATATAAAGAAGAAATAAATATAGTACAAACTTCAAAAATCAAGCCATAGAAAAAGGAAAATATAGGATCAATATTATTCTTGGATGAGTATTGATAATTGTAACATCTTGTAAATACATTTATGAGTGAAGAAGTGATAAAGATGTGAATAGAAGAAGTGAAGTCTAGATTGTTATTCCAAGAAGTGTTTAAGCATTGAAGTGCTTGACATCATTCTTAAATACTTGATATAAGAATTTAAAGTGTCTAAAGGTGCATCATTTCTAATTATATTTTTTTTTATATTGAAATATGATGTTTAACATTTGTAAATTTTTATTTTCGTAATTTCATTGCTAAAGGACTAGCAATGATTTAAGTTGGGGGGTGTGATAAGTCTTCATTATCATGAGTTAATAATTAGTAAATAATATAGTTTTAGCCTTAAATCATGATAAATAGACTTATATTTGTGTTAAAGTGTGAAAAGTGATTTTCAGTTGATTAATGTGAATTTTTGGATAATTATGTGAATTTACATAAATTTATATGATTTTTATAGCCTTACTTTTGAGATAAATGAAGAAAAAATAAAATAAAATAAGATAAAATGAGGGGGACCCGCCAGCCAGCCGGGTCCGCAAGCAGGTCGAAAGCTTAGTCGGGGAGTAGCCACAAGCAAGGGCTCGAGCGGCTTAGACCGATAAGGGCATGTGTGCGCCACTCCCCTTCCATGTCACTAGTGGCCAACTGGCTATGGGGCAAGGAGTAGTCGTACACGCGAGAAAAGAGACTTGCTTAGAAATCTAACATTACTATATATTCGTCCAAAAAATTGATGCACAATCGATGTGGGACTAAACCTGCGTCACACCTTCCTCAGAAGGGGCGGGCAACCGGCGTAGGTTTGAATCCTCCTAGAGTCAAAAGTCACATATTTTTATCTGATTATCCCGACTTTCCTATAGATCGCCGATGAAGGATCAAAGAACAAGAATCGCTAGATCATCGGCGAAAATCTCGTCAATGCGATTCACAGAGCATTACTACTAAAATTGTTGAACGATTCGTGATAAAAGGATCGTAAATCCATTGAGTAAATGATCTTCGATTGATCGATGAACAAGTTGTCGTCGAGAAGAGGACGATCCACTGGGAGACGAGTCGCCACCTCTTGAGAGTGTATCAGATGCGACGAAGAGTCTCCTCTTGCTGCACGGACCTAAGGATGAAGCTCCCTGACACGTGCCCCACCTCCATCCAACTCTTCTTTGTCGGGTGACAACTACCGGAGAGCCGCAAAGTTGTCGTTTTCTGCTCCATCGGGTGACAGCCGCTAGAGATGATTCGACGACCTTTTTCATTAATCTCTAGACTTCACAAGGAGATCTAGAGATTGCACATATCATCTTTGTCTAAGGAGAGCCTTCGAGGCCGTGGACATTACATGACAATCCTCCAAAACACTCAAGATTCCAATGCATCGCCGACGCATCATTGTCGTGACACCAGAACTTTGTTTTTCTGCTTTCAACTTACTTTACGCTTCATTTAGTGATAATTTGTGTGATTTTAATTTACCAAAATATACTTCATTCAATTATGATTCTTCTAGCTTTTACAGATCTTAATTTAAATAATTAAATCATCTATAATCATTTACGTAAGAATCACCAGGTCGAACTCTATTTCTGCTTGATTCGTGTTTGCTAGGCACTGACATCATCCTGACGTTCCCACCCTTATTTTTCTTTTCTGTGAATTTTAAATATATTTTATTTTCATTTACTAGTATAAAATTCATAGAAAATAGTATTCTTTGAGAAAAATTCTGAATAATTACCAGATATTATATTACATCCCTATGATCAACTTGGAAAATTAATGTTATTTTTGGAAGTTTTATTGAATTATAATTAATATATTTATTCAGAAATATTTCTAAATATCTAAAAATTCATATTTTCTAGTTTTATAAATTTTAGATTTATGTGATTTAATATACAACGAGTAAGTCACGTCAATGAGATTAAGACAAAGATTAGAGGAGCGCCCTCATGGAAGAATCTAGGTCATCTACCAAGAGTTAGTTATTAATCATAACCGTCTATTAGAGGGACCTAATTCTCAGGAGGATTAAGGCATCTCGCCCCCCTATTAGAAGATACTTTTGGCTCTCTCTATAGTAGTGGTTAATCAAAGAAAAAAAGAGGAAAATCAAGATCCAGTCAATGGCATTCTCATGCCCAAGATCATTGTGGAGAAGAGATTACCTAGAGCACATTAAGATTGTCGTAGATTAAGCATTACTCGGCCTAAGATTGATGCACAATAAGGTCTATGTAATATCTAGATTAACTCTTAGTTCAAACTAGTCTTAACATTTATTCTATCATTTCATTACATTAGATCAATTCTCTCCCCTTTACCACACTTTCTATTTCTCTTGTCTTTACCTTTATTAGATTAATTCCGCCATTCACAATCTCAAATATATACATATATATATAAGAAAAAAATTAAATAAAATTCTTACTTTCATTACCTATACTCCTTGAGGATCAACCTTTATTTATTATAAACAAAAGAGTGAGGTTTTATAAATATTATTTACATGAACTTGGTTACATCACAATGACATGTTTAACCTCTAAATCAAGTTCATCAATTGTACACTCCACTACCAATTTCACATTATTAATAGACTGATATTTCTATAGACTTTGTATTAGGTCTATTGTGAACACAAAGAGGAGTTGATTCAATTTTTGTGGTGGTTGGTAGTTTTAAAAAATGACATATTTTATTACATGTAAAAAGACAAATGATGTAAGCCTGATAGCAAATCACTTATTCAAAGAAATTATTCACCTCTATGAAATTTTTGAGTCTATTACATTTGACAAAGATTTTAAATTTATTTCTCACTTTTTATGAGCACTTTGGAAAGGGTTTGATATATTTTTGAAATTTAGTAGTATTAGTCACCCACAAATTGATGTGCAAACTAAACTTGTGAACATAACTCTTGACAATTTGATTTGTTGTATTTCATGAGAGAATCTAAAAATAACGAGATTATACTTTAGCTCTTGCAAAGTTTGCTTATAATTCAATGATTAATCATTCGACTAACTAATCTCTATTATCAATAGTATACTATTTTCCTCTAATATTCTAATAAATTTATTACTATTTTCGTATAATATTCTAATGAATTTATTACTATTTTCCTCTAATATTCTAATAAATTTGTTACTCTTTAACTCTAATCATTCGACTAACTATTTAATTTTTGTGTGCTAACTTATAAAAGAAATATAGTAATATATTATTAATTTTGGAAGTCTGAAGTTAAAGGATAGCATAATTTTTTATTTTTAAAAATATAAGGACATTGTAATTTTTAATTTTTAAAATATAATAATAAATTAAAAAAAGTTGTTGCCCACTAGCAAGCCAACACTTGGCAGTTGACCTAGAGGGGCTCTACACTCAAGTGGGTGGACCTAGACTGATGGAGCCACAAGCGCGGCTCAAGTGGCTAAGGAATTGCTTCATACACATGTGCATCAATTCCCTGCCACATCTCGGGGGCCACTAGTCCTAGAGCAAGGAGTGTCATACAGACATGTATGCACGAGGGCAGACCACCTATTACCTTCTCCCAAAATGTTCATATATATTATTTTATTCAGGAGAAGGGATCTATGTAGGAACAAGATAGCTTTGATATATATTCAGTTCAATTTCTTGAAAAACCTCTAATGTGGGACCAATGTTCTCATTTGTTTCAAGGCACCAGTCTAACGTAGTTTGATCTAGCAATGCTCAATGGGCCATGTTACCAAATAAGGTAGATCCTTTGGTAGGCAAACCTCCACAATACTCAAAACATGAAGCATTCAAACTATGGTTCACAAATCCAAAGTCACTCAACACACATGTGACCAAAAAGGATGATCAGACAACAAATGAAGTACCATGATACTAAGAACTTAAGTTCCCAGTTGGCAATTGTTTGTGGTGAGTTAATATGTGACACTCAACGTGCCACATGACCAAAGACGACAAATCTAACAACAAGCAAAACACCAAAATATTGAGAACTTAAGTTCTCATACATATCACTATCAAAGATAAATACAATAATCAATTATTATCTACTAAAATAGACATTATTGATTATCTTTAAAATTCCTATGGCAATTGTGAGGATGACATTCATTCTTTCCTCCTTTTGCTTGATCAACATTCCTAGCAATCAATGAGCTTGATCCTTTCTTCCCTTAGTGCACTAAAGTCCTCCAAAGAGTGGTCAGCTCTTCCCTTCTCCCCTCAAATGATAGTGACAACATGGTTGATCCCTCTTTTTTGCAAATATTTCAAGCAAGTAGTGCAGCACTTTGAGACAATACTTCTACAACTTACATGTGGTCTGACATGTCTAGAAGAAACTAAGCCACCACAGTCGTGTCTCTAGTTGTTCAAGAGGCAGACTAAATTTGGATGTTGATTTATTTTCTATTTTGAATATTTATTTATATATTTTAATCATTTATTTATATTTTATGATAAGATATTTTCATTTCATACATGTTCTGATTAAAATGAATATAACTGATTCAAATCTTAATGATCTTCATTTCTTTTCTAAATCCTCTGAAACTCATTTGAGATCAAGCTAAGATTATTTTTAACTTATTTTCTATTGATTTTCATTATTGAAACTTGAAGTATTAATCTTCCCAACATTCTACGAATAATGAGTAATTTTTTATTTTCGAACATGAAATCAATGAGATTAAAGATTGATTTATGCGTTGAAGTGTTAAAACAAAGTGGAGACATTCATGCCTAACTTCATGTCATATGTGTGAATTCTCAAGCACACATTTGTCCTAGAATCATGGTCACCATAAAAATAACTTGACCATTTTTCTCTCTTTATTATTATCTTATTTCTCTCTCTCTCTCCTTCTCTCGATTGATCTCTTTATCTTTTTTGTGAGATCTTTTCCTCTTTTCTCAATCAATCTCTCTTTTTCTCTCTCTCAATTGATCTCTTTATCTATCTCATGAGATCTCTTCCTCTTGCTCAATCGATCACCCTCTCTTTCTCTCTCTCTCTCTCTCTCTCTCTCTCTCTCATGATCAATCTCCCTCTTTCTCATTCTATTGTAATAGATCTCTTCTTTCTCTTTCTTGAGAGCACTCTCTTCTCTCTCTCTTTCCCTCCTTCCTTTCTTTACATTCTTTATTCTTCTCACCTCACCCTTTTATTTCTTATTTCTATTAAATAGTAAAAAAATATTAAAATACTCTATATATAAACTAAATTAATTTTTCACAATGAGTTAATTAATCTCTGTGTTCAAGTGAAACTTCAATCTATATTAATAGCTTATCAAGTCTTACTAATAAATATTTTAGATAATAGAAATTTAAATAAATAAGTGTACATCATGTACCAAGGACAAATGAAATTAATATTGTCATAAATAGTATGATAGATCATATCAAATCACTTCATGAAAGTGTGTTATATGATGTGTACTTGTTGTTGTGTTTAAATGTGCACTATCTAATAATAGTTATAAATAAGACTTGATAAAATATTAGTATAGAAGTAAGTCTCAAGTCAAACTCAAGAAGATTGATTAATCCGTCTTGAAAACTAATTTAGTTTATATATAAAGTAATTTTAATATTTTATTAGTATTTAATAGAAAGAATAAAATAGAAAGGTGAGATAGAAAGAATAAAAGAAAGGAAGTCGAGAAGAGAAAAGACAAAAGAAAAAAAGAAGAGAGAGCTCTCACAAGAGAGAAGAGATGAGATATCTCACGAAAGGGAGAGAAAGAGAGAGGAGGAGAGAAAGTGACATGACTTAGTCATTGTATAGTAAATCATGTAAATTTAAAATTTATAAAACTAGAAAATACTAATTTTTAGATATTTAGAAGTATTTATGAACAAATATATTAATTATAATTTAAAAAAACTTTCAAAAATAGTAGTAAAAATGAATATTGGGTAATTTTTCATAATTTTACTCAAATAATATATTTTTTTATGAATTTTACACTATAAAATAAAAATAAAATATATTTAAAATTTATGAAAAAAGAAAATAAGGGTACAGACATTAGGATAATGTCAAGGCTCAACGAATACAAATCAGGTAAAAATAGAGTTTTATCTGAAAAATTTTAGGTAAATAATTATAGATGATTTAATTGATCAAATTAAGATCTATAAAAGCTAAAAGAATCGTAATTGAATGAAGTATAACTTAGTAAATTTAAATCACATAAATTATCACTAAATGAAGTAAAAATTAATTTGAAAGTACAAAAATAGAGTTTGACATTGCGACAATGATATGTCAATGATGTACTAGAATCCTAAGTATTCAAGAGGATTGTCATATAGTGTACACAGTCTCAAAAGCTTTCCTTGGATAAGAACGGCATGGGTAGTCTCTAGATCTCTTTGCAAAGTCTAGAAATCAATGAAATAAGTTGTCGAATCGTCTCAACAACTATAACCCAGCAGAGTGGAAAAATAACAACTTTGTGACTATCCGACGACTGTCACCTAATAGAGAGGAGTTAGATGGAGGTGGGGCACATGTTAAGGACCTTCATCCTTAAGTTTGCGTAGCTAGAAAAGGTTTTTCATCACATCCGATACGCTCTCAAGGGGTGACGACTCATCTCCTGACGAATCATCCTCTTCTCGACAATGGCTTGTTCGTCAATCAATTGGAGATGATTTACTTGATGAATTCGCAATCCTTTTATCACAAATCATTTAGTAATTTTAGTAATAATGCTCCATGAACCGCATTGATGAGATTTTCACTGATGATTCAGTGATTATGACGGCTTAATCCTTCACCAGCGATCTACAAGAAATTCATAATCATCAAATAAAAATATGACTTTTTGCTCTAGGAGGATTCAAACATGCGTTGGTTGTTTGCCTTCAAAGCTTTTTGAGGGAAGGTGTGACATGAATTTAATCCCACATCGCTTGTGCACCAAAGTTTTAGATGAATAAATACTAATATCACATTTCCAAGCAATGAGGCCTGACCTGACGTAACTTAGTAATTGTATAGTAAATCGCACAAATTTAAAATTTATAAAATTAGAAAATATGAACTTTCAGATATTTAGAAGTATTTCTGAACAAATATATCAATTATAATTTAATAAAACTTCCAAAAATAGTAGTAATTTGTCAAGTCAATCAAAGGGATGTAATATAATATCTGGTAATTATTTAGAATTTTCCTCAAAGAATATTATTTTTTATGAATTTTATACTAAGAAATAAAAAGAAAATATATTTAAAATTTACAAAAAAGGAAAATAAGGGTGCGGATGTCAGGATGACGTCAGCACATGGCAAATGCAAATCCGACAGAAATAGAGTTATGGCCCATGATTCTTATGTAAGCAATTATAGATGATGAAATTGATCAATTTATGATCTATAAAAGTTAGAAAAATCATAATGGAATGAAGTATATCTTGGTAAATTTAAAATTAAAAAATTAACACTAAATAAAGTAGAAATTAAGTTGAAAGCAAGAAAATAGAGGTGGTGATGCGTCAGTAATGCACTAGAATCTTGAGCATTCGGGAGGATTATTTTTCAGTGTCCATGGCCTCGAAGGCTTTCTTTGGACAAAGACAACGTGGGCAATCTCTAGATCTCCTTTGCGAAGTCTAGAGATTAATGAAATGTGTCGTTAAATCGTCTTCAGTGGCTGACACCTGGTAGAGCAAAAAAATAGCATCTTTACGGCTCTCTCGTGACTGTCACCTAACGTGACTCATTGTATATTAAATCACGTAAATCTAAAATTTATAAAACTAGAAAATATGATTTTTTAGATGTTTAGATGTATTTCTGAACAAATATATCAATTATAATTCAAAAAAACTTTCAAAAATAGTAGTAATTTTCCAAGTCAATCACAAGGATGCAATATAATATCTAGTAATTATTCAGAATTTTCCTCAAAGAATATAATTTTCTATGAATTTTATACTAAGAAATGAAAATGAAATATATTTAAAATTCACGAAAAAGGGAAATAAGGTGCAGACATCAAGATGACGTCAGCGCCCAGTGAACATGAATCGGGCAAAAATAGAGTTCCACCTGGCGATTCTTACATAAGTGATTATAGACGATTTAATTAATCAAATTAAGATCTATAAAAGCTAGAAGAATCGTAATTAAAAAGTATATTTTGGTAAATTAAAATCACACAAAGTATCACTAAATGAAGCATAAATTAAGTTGAAAGTAGAAAAACAGAGTTCCGACGTCGTAATGGTGATGTGTCGGCGATGCACCAGAGTCTTGAGCGTTCGGGAGGATCGTCATGTAGTGTCTATGGCCTTGAAGGTTCTTCTTGGACAAAGATGATGTAGGCAATCTCTAGATCTCCTTCCGAAGTCTAGAGATTAATGAAATGAGTCGTTAAATCGTCTTCGACAGCTGTCACCCAGTGGAGCAGAAAAATAGCGACTTTACAACTCTCCGGTGGTTGTCACCCGACGGAGAGGAGCTAGATGGAGGTGGGGCATGTGTCAAGGAGCTTCATCCTCAAGTCCACACAGCAAGAGGAGGCTCTTCATCGCATTTGGTACACTCTAAGGAGGTGACAACTCATCTCCCGATGGATCGTCCTCTTCCTAACAACAGCTTGTTCGTTGATCAATCAGAGACGATTTATTTGATGGATTTGAGATCCTTTTATCGCAAATTGTTCAACAATTTTAGTAGCAATGCTCTGCGAATCGCGTTGATGAGATTTTCACCGATGATCTAGTGATTCTGGTTACTTAATCCTTCACCAGAGATCTACATGAAAGTCACAATAATTAAATAAAAATATATGACTTTTGACTCTGGGAGGATTTAAACCCGTGCCAATTTTCTGCCCTTTTTGGAGAAGGTGTTGTAGGTTTAGTTCCACATTGGTTGTGTACCGATTTTTCGGGCGAATATATAGTAATATTTCATTCCTAAGCAAGTCACTTATCTTGCATGTACGACCACTCCTTGCCCCATAGCCGGCTAGCCACTAGTGATGTGGAAAGGGATTGGCGCACACGTGCCCCTATCGGTCCAATCTGCTCGAGCCCCTACTCACGGCTACTCCCTGACTGAGCTTCCAACCCGCTTTTGGGCCTGGCTGGTTGGCAGGTCCCCCTCATTTTATCTTTTATTATTATTATTATTATTATTCTTTATTTATCTCAAAAGTAAGACTTTAAAAATCATATAAATTCATGTAAAATCAGATAATTACCTAAAAAAATCACATTAATCAACTAAAAACCACTTTTTATACTTTAAAATAAATATAAGGCTATTTATCATGAGTTAAGGCTAAAGCTATATTATTTACTAATTATTAACTCATAATAGTGAAGACTTATCATCACCCAACAGAGAGGAGTTGGATGGAGGTGGGGCGCGTTTTAGGGAGCTTCATCCTCAAGTCCACGTAGCAAGAGGAGGCTCTTCATCACATCTAGTACGCTCTCAGGAGGTGGCAACTTGTCTCTCGGCGGATTGTCCTCTTCCCGACGACGGCTTGTTCGTCGATCAATCAAAGATGTTTTACTCGATAGATTTGTGATCCTTTTATCAAGAATTATTCAACAATTTTAGTAACAATGATCTGCAAATTATGTTGACGAGATTTTTGCCAATGATTTAACGATTCTGGTTGCTTAATCCTTCACTGGTGATCTACAAAAAAGTCACAATAATCAGATAAAAAAAATATGAGTTTTGGCTCTAGGAAGATTCGAACTCGTGTCGGTTGGCCGCCCTTTTTGGGGAAGGTGATGCGGGTTTAGTCTTGCATCACTTGTTCACTAAATTTTCAGGCAAATATATAATAATGTTATATTTGAAGACAAGTCTCTTTCTCGCGCGTGTACAACCACTCCTTGCCCCACAACCAGTTGGCCACTAATGACGTAGAAGGGGAGTAGTGCACATGTGCCTCTATCGGTCGAAGCTACTCAAGCCCCTACTCGCATCTACTCCCTGACTACGCTTCCGACCCCCTTGCAGGCCCAGTTGGCTAGTGGGTCCCTCTCTTTTTTTATATCTTTATTTCTTTTTCTTTATTTATCTCAAAAGAAGATTGTAAAAATCAGATAAATTTGTATAAAATCACATAATTACCTAAAAATTCATGTTAATCAACTAAAAACTATTTTTCACACTTTAACACAAATATAAGTCTAATTATCACGAGTTAAGGCTACAACTATATTATTTATTAATTATTAACTCATGATGATAAAGACTTATTAAAGCCCTTTCTTCTATGTGTATGACCACTCCTTACCCCATAGTTAGCTGGCCACTGATGATGTGAAAAGGGAGTGGCGCACGCATCCCCCATCAGTGCTAACTACTTGAGCCCCTACTTGTGGCTCCCCTTAATTGTACTTTCGACCTGCTTGCAGGCCCGGTTGGCTAGTGAGTCCCCCCCCATTTTGCTATATTTTTTTTTTATTTCTTTTTATTTATTTATCTCAAAAATAAGACTATAAAAATCATTTAAATTCATACAAAATCACATAATTAGCCAAAAATCTATATTAATCAATTGAAAACTACTTTTCATAATTTAACATAAATATAAGTCTATTATTATGAGATAAGACTAAAAATATATTATTTACTAATTATTAACTTATGATAAAGCTTGAATCAGCACAAAACACAACAAGATTGATGCATAGCCTCAGTGCAGTTTCATTCTAGCCGACTAAATGTTGGGACTTTCGAAGTTAGGTTTTCCACCCCTAAATGACAACTTAAATGTATAAGGGTTTACGTGAGGATATAAGAGTACACATGTAAAGCTGATATCTACCTTCTCGTGAGCTGGTTCATCCGAGATCATCTAATCTACGACTATGATTAAGTGAGGATATTTTCATCTTTTTGGCTACAATAAGATGAGACGAGAGTCAATTTCCTCTCGGGTTGATCTAAGCATTGGATTTGGAGGTCTTGTCGTAGCCATAAAGATCTTCCTTAATGTTGAGATCCATTGCACTCTCAATAAGTATGCTCCATCTATCGTTGATTGTGTAGACACTGTCAACAACTTTCAATCTCCTCATTTGGTGATGTTACATGTCACCACCTCACCTCTTGATTCCATTGCCTCATCTCCACAAATCAAATCTCATCTATATAAGCATATATCAACTTCCTAAAAATTACATAAACATACTGAAAATTCCTAAAATTTTCTTATATTAATAAAAAATCAATTATGACTGTAAAACTCAGAGAAAAATTTTGAAAATTTCTCTATATATTAAAATTTCATGAAATAATAAATGTTTACTTTTTTAATATGATAAAATGCTAGATTATAAGATTTAAGCTATTGAAAAAAATAATTCTTACACTTTTCATGTGATAATCAGCATGTTATCAAGTGCAACATGCAATGCAAAGAAGATGTACAAAGCACACAAGCTCACATCTATGCATATTGGGGATGAGAAAATAGATAATAAATTTTCATAGGAACATCAATAGCCGTAGCACAAATTAACACGAGAAATGTGACTTCATGGATGATTTGGTCAAGTTGATGTAGCTTGAGTTATACAAAGTTGAAATCTCATCCTTGAATTCACAAAAACTTGATTTTCATGAAGATCATTGATAAGTCTTTATTATCATGAGTTAATAATTAATTAATATTTTTTTAAGCCTTAAATCATGATAAATAGTCTTATATTTATGTTAAATTGAGAAAATTGATTTTTAATTGATTAATGTTAATTTTTGACTAATTATATTATTTATGTAAATTTATATAATTTTCATAATCATATTTTTGAGGTAAAATCAAGAGAAATAAATTAAAATAAAAAATATACATAAAAAGAGAGGACCAGCCAACCAACTTGGCTCACAAGCGGGTTGGAAGCATAGTCGAGGACTAGCTAGCTAGTTAGACATGCAAGAGGGTCGGAAGGAAGCATAGTTGGGCAAAGCCATGAGTAGGGTTCAAGTGGCTAAGGAACTAGTGGGAAACATAAGTGCGTCACTCCCCTTTCACATCGCCGGTGGCTAGTCAAACATGGGGCAAAGAGTGGTCGTACACATGTGAGAGAGATACATTGATAACAAAAAGGGTATTACTATATGTTCGTCTCAAATAATGGGCAACAATTGATGTGGGACTAAATTGATGTCAGTGTTCATAAGTTTTACATATTTTGATACCTAAGATACTCTTAATTTATGAGAAGCACCTCTATGACATCACTAGATAGGGATATGAGTGTAATTAATTATATAATTAATTAATTAAAACTTTCTCACACACAATCAAGCAATCAGCAAAGGTTATATCTTATTGAATCAAAATTTCATATTTTTATCTGATTAAATCATAATTTTTTTATAAAGCACTAATCAATGATTAAGTCATCAAAATCACTCAATCATCAACAAAAATGTCATCAATGTGATTCGTGAAGTATTATTATCAATTGTCAAATGATTATAGATAAAAATATCATAAATTCATCTAAAAAATCATCTCCAATTAATTGACAAATTAGTCATCATTGAGTAGAGGATGATTTATTGAGAGATGAGTCACTACCTCCTCATAGCATATCAAATGCGATTGATGCGCACTTCTCATCATATTTAAATGTCCATTATCTAATAATATTTATAACTAAGACTTAATAAGATAATAGTATAAATGTAAGTCTCAAGTCAAACACAAAGAGATTAATTAGTCTATCGTGAAAACTAATTTAATTTATATATAAAGTGATTTTAATATTTTATCACTATTTAACAGAAATAACAAAATAGAAGGTTGAGGTGAGAAGAATAAAGGTAGGGGAGCGGAGAAAGAAAAGAGGAAGAGAGAGAGAAGAGAGAGCTCTCATGAAAGAGAGAGAATAGAGTACCCTTCAATCTTAAATCTTATAGAAAAATATGAGGTCAGCCATAAATTTCTCCACCTTATTTTAATAATTCAATAATTATATAGTACCCTTCAATCTTATTAATTTACATTCGAAAATAGAAAAATATCCATTATTTGCAAAACATCATGAACATGAATACGACAAGATTTGACTACAAAAATCAATAGAAAATAAGTTGAACATGATCTTAGCTTGATCTCAGATGCATTTTAGAGGATTTAGAAAAACAATGAAAATCATCAAGTTTTGAATTAGTTATACTCATTTCTATCAAAGCATGTATGAAATAGAAAGAACTTGTTGTAAAATAGAAATAAATATTAAAAGTAGAAAATAAATCATTGTCTAAGTTTAGTTTGCATCCTGATCAATGAGAGACACTAGTGTGGTGACTTAGTTTCATCCGAATGTGCAATACCATGTCATAAGTTACAAAAGTATCGTCTAAAGGTACTATGTTACTTGTTGAAGAGATTGACTAAAAAGAAGAGACAACCACACTATCACCATCATCTGGTGGGAGAAGGGAAGAGTTGATTGCTCACTAGAGGCCTTGAGTGCAATCAACGGATGAATGAATGAGCTCGTTGATCGTCAAAGGCATTGATCGTGTGAAAGGAGAAAAGAAACAAATCATGTATTCATAACTACCATTGAGA